CGTGCACTACTCGGCCCTCACCTCGCTGGCCCGCGCCTGCCCCGAGAGCGCCCTGCACCGCGTGGGCAGCATGTTCCGCTCCAAGCGGCGGAAATTTCGCGTCACCAGCGAAGACCCCACGTATACTGTGCTCTACCTGGGCAACGCCACCACCATCCAGTCCAAAGGTGAGGGCTGCACCGACCTAGCCGTCTGCAAGATTTGGAGCAAGAGCGAGGCGGGCCGGCAGGGCACCAAGATGAAGCTGACCATCAGCGCGCAGGGCATCCGCATGGCCCACGCCGAGGACAAGGGGCTGCGCCGGCCCGGCCATCTCTACCTGCTGCACCGGGTCACCTACTGCGTGGCCGACCCGCGCCTGCCCCGTGTCTTCGCCTGGATCTACCGCCACGAGCTGAAGCACAAGGCGGTGATGCTGCGCTGCCACGCCGTGCTGGTCTCCAAGCCCGAGAAGGCGAAGGCCATGGCCCTGCTGCTCTACCAGACTTCGGCCACGGCACTGGCCGAGTTCCGCCGGCTGAAGAAGCGGGACGACGCGCGGCACCAGCAGCAGCAGCTGGTGGGCGAGCAGAGCATCCCGCTGGTGCCGCTGCGCAAGCTGCTCAACGGGCAGTGCTGCTACAAGCCGCCGGTAGAGCGGAGCCGCAGCGCGCCCAAGCTGGGCTCCATCACGGAGGACCTACTGGGCGAGGAGCAGGAAGAGCGGGCCATGCACTGCGACTGCGAAGACATCCTGGAAGCGCTGGGCGAGCCCGAGGGCGAGCTGCTGCGCCCCAGCACCGGCCGCGGCGAGAGCCCAGAGCTGGGCCAGCTCCTCCGCGACCTGGGCGAACTCAGCCTGGGCAACGACTTGCGCTCGCTGCGCGCCGACCTGCGCGTCCGCCGCCTGCTTTCCGGGGAAAGCACGGGCAGCGAGTCCTCCCTGGAGAGCGGCGGCACGGACGGGGCCGCCCCGCCCGGCAGCGACGCCGAGCAGCCGCCCCCCGGCGACCCCGAGACCGGCTGAGCACTCGAGCCCGTACGGGCTTGCGCGGTGCCGCCGGGGCGCACCGGG